ACATTCCATAATAAAAATTGGGAAAGACTTTCTTATTTTTATAGCTCTTAATGACTAACTTTCAGTCTGTTCAACAAGATAATTTTTGTTCTCTGTGATTTCTAACCAGCTCTGAGAGTAAACTGGTGGGCAGAGAGCAGAACTCACCTCAGGCAGTAAAAATGCTGTGTTTTTCCCCCCCTAGTTATTACATAGAAAATTATCAAGGTAAGAAATTCTTACTGGATTTAAGCTCCTAGTGGCCATTTATATCTTTCCTGTCCGCCTCCATTCTTTGAACAAAGCTGTCTTGACTTCCTACAGACCTATTCTTCTACCCCTCAGCATGGCTATTAGTTTCCCTGGTGCTGGTGCAAGCCTTGTGTGGTGTGTATAAACATGTGGGCAGGTCAGCTTAGTAAATGCGTAGGCAAGGATAAAAGCCCTTTAACACTAATCACCGTCCTGGCAAGGGCATTTGTGTCTGCGTCTGAAAGGAGAATTTACATTTTCACAGTTGCATAATTGCACAGGTAGAAGAGATTTATGCTACATGTGTGTCTAGGTAAAGATCCATATAGCACACGTTTGTCTTTGTACATGACTCTGGTGCTGGGTGAGGATAAGGGGCACAGTTGTGAAATGTAAAAGGCTATTCCTCACTCATCCTGAAGTTCCAGAGGGACTTCCTCAACTTCTCTGTGTTGTAGCTGTTTGCAGTGGCTGTTTGACTTAATAGCATTAGGTGCTGATTCAGAGAGTGGTGTTATGTTCAGGGATCCTAGCAGTAATTGCATTTCTAATGACATTCTCTGTGAGGAAACCTCTGCCATGACTGTGACAAGGAAGCATCAGTGGTGAGTAGGTCATGGCTGATTCTTGTGTTTGTGTGAGATGAATCTGGGCTCAGAGATGATGGGACAACTGATCCTTAATGGCTTAGCTGTTGAACTTTTTCCTCCCAGTGGTTTCAGCAGAAAAGTCCCACCCTATTGTGGATATTCTAATACATATACTAAAGTGCGGGGTTTCTTATTATGTGGACATTTTATGCTTCAATAGTTATGTGGGGTCTTCATAGCTCTAATTTGGACACGTCCTGAAGGGCGCTTCGTTTCTCCAGCCTCACAGATCACATGTCGGTGGCACAGCACAGTGCCTTTTGGATCAGGCTTTAAAGTCTCATTTTTGCAAACAGATCCCTTTCCATTGTCAGAGTCTGGAGTCACTTGTAGTTCTGTCTCGTAACTCTCATTAAATGTCTTCTTGGTATTTGGTCCTGGGCTTGTTGGGTGGTGATGGCACCAGCTGTGTAATGCAGGGAGTATTTTTTTGTTGTCATGCTTTTGTGTCATGTAAGAAGATTAGAAATGCATGCAGAGCACTTTTCCAGCCAGGTTCAAAAATGCCTTCAAATGATGATTCTTGGCATAGTATATGTTTAGACAGTGTTGCAGTGAATACTGTAGGATTTCCGTTTTTAGGTTGTTTTCGTTCTGCTTGTATAATCCTATTCACTGAAAACATACACATATATAGACCTTTTATTTTATACTTCCACCATCCACCTTTAAAACCAGCTGATAGGATATCAGGAAAATTGAACTTACATAGACTGCGTATTCCTAAGAGGATTTACATTTCTGCAGATCATGGACCTGCTGAGGATTTTGTAGCTGTCAGCCCGACATGGGTTGTTTTTAGCTTTGCAGATAACACAGCTGAGAAGAAGCCCCGAGAAGCTTGTTTGACAGGGGTGAAGTAAACTTTAAGTGCAGTGATACAAAGACAGCTATTTCTGCCATCTTTATGGATAAAAAAGAAAACAGGTGTCGTATTGGTTAGCAGTGTTCAGGTTGGTGATGAGATATCTTTCTAGTTCATAAGAGAATATGAGATTAGGTTGAATGAAATACAACCTTACTAAAACAATATTAAACAATAGATTGAAATAAATGGAAATGAATGGATAGAATAAACAGTGAAACATCCTAAAGTGTTAGCCTGCATGTTTAAAAAATGCTTGGAAATTAAAAATGTAGAGAAGGTAAAATAAGACCAAGGAGGCATATCTTTTATGGTTTGATTGTTGAACTCTTTCAGTGAAGGATGTTTCTGAACACCTTAGCATCCATTCCTGCCATTGTTAGCTAAAGACAGGAGGCTAAAGCCTTGGTACAGGTCATCTGTTTGATTTTAACAAGGCAGAAATTATTTTTCTTCATTTCTGCCAAAAGAAATCTGCAATATCTTCATATCATTTCAGTGCTGATATGTGCAAATTAATTTATTAAAAATGACAATTTTATTTAGGCCTAAGGTATTGTGATACTAATGGAATTCTCTCATCAAATTCTCTGGGTTCTTGTGTCGCCATTAGATTCTGCCCAAAAAAAAGATCTCTTTGCAGCTTTGGACTTCTCTTCCCCTCATATTCTGAGGTATTGAGAATTTTGACCAAATAAGGGTATTAGAAGTTATGCCAAATCTATGAAGTTTTAGAAGAATTTCTGTTTATTCTAAAAATTTGAGATCATTCCTAAACTAAGTAGAAGGGAAGTGTAAGCAGCACTTTGAGACTTTTTGTTCAGGGAGGAGCTTTTTTGCAGTGAAAGATGCAAGACTGAAGGGTGGTGCTTAGTCCCGTGAAGCTGGAGGAAGACTTGGTGAGCTGCAGAGTGTTCGGGGGATGCACAAAGGCACCTGTCTGCTTGTACATGACTGCAACCCTGGCTTCAAGGGCAGCACTTGGAGGAACTGCAAAGAACCAGTAGAATTTTTGATGTGTGAGCAATGACTATGCAGTATATTTAAGGGCACCCTGAAGCCACCCTTAAGATTAGATTCACTGTCTGTAAAGGCCGCAAAGCTGGATGTGTGACTGTGGGCCAGAGGCTACTCCACAAAGCATGTAGAGCCCAGCATGCCTGCACACGCTGTTCAGCCCAGCATAGCACAGCCATGGTGCCTTCTCAGTGGCTTTCTGAGACACATCCAGACAGGTTGGTTGACACCTACCTGCAGACATCCCATCAGACTGGCTGCAAGACCCCCAGGTGGAAGGGAGAGACGTGAGACTGGGAGGTTGCTGTAGTCCACCTGCTTCCCAGAGTACTTGGTATGAGCAGTGTTGACACTGCCTTGAAGCACCTTCTGGTTACTGTTCAGTGTTAGAGATGTGAAACAGGACTTACATGAATCCCCGATCTGTCTGAATTTTATGGGACCACTTTTGTGGTTGTTTTTCCTCTGTCATAGAGTGTCATTGCTGTTGCCTGCGTTGGCTTTTTCTGGTTGGATTTCTTCAGATGGTAATTCTTGTGCTAAGTCGTGGCGCCTCTGGTTTCATGGTGTGTTTGCTGTGTGACTCAGTGATTGTTCGACCTATGAGCTCTATTTTTCCTTTTTCTGCAGGTTTTAATTTGATGTCAAAAACCATTATGCTTTCAAAGACTTAGAGTTCTGATATTCAACAGCTACAAGTATTGATTTGCAATTGGCAGGAGGGCATGTTTGCTTCAACTAGCAATGCTTTTAAAAAATAATTCCGTTTGCTTTATGCCAAAGAGTCCCTGTGTTCCCTTTCAAACTATCTTTGTGTTGACTGCAGAAAAGCCTACCACATTAAAAAATGAGCTAGTGTTTATGCCAAATGTTCTCCCACATATTTTCAAACCTTTTAGCGCTGTTTGCACTGAGATTTTTCACCTAAAAGCCACAGCAGTTTGGAGCGCTGCTTGATGCTTTTTGTAAAGACATCCACTTTCTGTCCACAAAAGGCCACATCATTGCCCAGTCAGTGCCCATGAGTGGTGGCTTACCCATACACATTGTCCTCCTGGTTTGTGTGGGGATAGGTATGTGTGAGCTTCTTCTGCTGTGAAAGGGAATAAAATCTTGCCCATGACACTGAGTAATCTGGTTATTTTAATCACTGCCTGCGATTCTTTGAATTATCATCTGTATTATGGGATAATTTGATCTCTTTGGTATTCAACAATGACTTTTTAAAGATTACCATATATATTATACAGAGCTAATATATTAAGACATACCTTAAGGGTAATTATCAAGCGTGTAATTTTATCTGTAGGTTCTTATAATGATGGTTAATGTCATAAATGCTTTTTAATGAAATTAAAGGCTTGTAACCCTGCTTGCCTATCCTTTGTGTGTCATATAATTAATAAGACCAAGCTTTGGTGTGCATCTCAGTGTCAAAAAGCATCATATAAACATCCATACTGATGGTAGATGGTTAGTCTCTCATCAGAGTAAGAATAAGGTTAAGGCCAGGCAGCTTGAGTGTATGTTACCTTATCTTTAAAGTCAGCTGGATGCACTTGTTAACAGAAGTACTTCTAACAGGATATATATCCTCATTTAAAAAAAAAGGCCATTGATCTCGTGTCTTATTATAATATTACATGCAGAATTATAAAGGAGTGAAAAGACAAGTGGGTTGCAGCACTTGGCATAAAGAATTGTTTTCCTTCTCATCCACTGAGGGTAGTGAAAATCTGTGTCCAACTTAAAAGCATTTGGAGATGGATAAGAAGCTTCATCTTGAATTGAATACACTTGTCTGGAATGTAGAAGAGCTGGGATTTTTGCCCAGTCTAGCCTAATTTCTGGATGCTCTGGCTGAGTTGATTATTTTTTATGGTCCCCAGATTTCCTATCTGAAAAATAAATGCCGTAATATTTCTTTTCTTTGTCTCACATGTCCACATTTTAAACTTGATGGGGCAAGAGATATCTGTGTGGTTTTTTGTTGAGTTTTTTCCTTTGGCAGTTACCATAGAATCTTAGAGAATTGTTCACATTGGAAGGAACCTAAGGTCATCTAATCCCACCTCCTGCTCGGAGCAAGGGCAGTGTTGAACTTCTGCCCTCTAGTCCATTTTCTTGTTGTGACTACTAATTAGGGAACCGGAAATTTTACATGTCACCAGTGAAAAGTAGTTCTAAAAAATAATGTAGGACTCATCAAGATTATTTTACTGTTCTTTGTCCTTCAGGGAATGATGTACCTAGAAGAGAGGAGACTTGTCCATCGGGACTTGGCAGCCCGTAATGTCTTGGTGAAATCACCAAACCATGTGAAGATCACTGACTTCGGCTTGGCCAGACTTTTGGAAGGGGATGAGAAGGAGTACAATGCTGATGGAGGGAAGGTGAGTGCTGTACATGACTGGTAGTAAACATATCACTGTGACAAACATCCTGAAGTTACCCTTTAGGGCACTGTATCCCTACGGGACTATTACCTGTGTAAGAAAGTCTGTCAGGGATTTAACAAATTGTGTTGTGACAGCACACATAAAAGCTGCTCATTTTTTACTCAGTGAGCTTCTCCAGGTGCTGAAATATAATTGTCTGAACAGTTTTCACACTCAGAATTAGGTTTTGTTGATATGCTCCATTTTGTGTCTTGTTTTAAGACTTCTGAAGTCAGTTCAATGAGTGATGGATGTTGTAGGGCATTTCTGCCAAGCCCCATTCTCTGGTCAGTATGGACCTCAATAACTTGCAGTGTCATTTTCCCTCACAAGTAATTTTCCAGAAATCAAGGCCACAGAACATGTTTGTATTTGTAGCATGTGAGAGTTTACATGTGCTCAGCAAAGAGCCACCTCTTCTATCACATTGGAAGAGCCTGTGTATGCTGTTTCTTGCATCCAAGTCTCCAATATCATTCTGAATGCCAGGCCACTAAAAAGCTAGCTTGAGGATAATTTTGAAACCAGACATTTTCCCCTATTACTTTTCAGCATACTGCACCAAACCCATGTAGTGCCACACCTCATTTCTAATGGGTTTGGATGAATGCATTATAAAATTCAGAAGGCTGTTAGCAAAGCCTGTATGTACATTCTGCTGCTGCCTGCTCCCTAAACATCTTGAAATTCCACATTTCAACCTGTCACAAAATCCCAAGAGATTCTTCATCTCCTGTCATTCCTTTTCCTGAACATTCAGTTTGCTTTCCATCTACTTGCTCTCTGTGTTTTTCTGTGCTTACTCATGCCCTTGTCTGGGACAAACAGCTGTTGCCAGTGTGTGCTCTTCTCCTGGATGGGCCGCTGCTTTATTTGTGTGGCTGCTACCTTTGGCAGCTGTTGCATGGATTATATCGGCATTTCAGTCAGTGAGGTGAAGAGCTGTGAAGGAGTCATAGGTTCTTTCCCATTTCCCAGTAAAGAGACCTCCAGGCAGGGAAGGTAGAGTTCTGGCACTATTCCCTTCCTTCAATTCTCTAATCCCCTCTTCAGTAACCAGTCTGCCTCTTCCCTCCATCAGCCGGTGAATAACAGAAGATTAGCTGGTCGTTGCAAACCAGATGTTCCCTGGCAGCTGTTAGATGGTGTCTTGGACCTGTGAGGCCAATCACACTGCTTGGGACTTCTGGAGCAGGATTTACACGTCAGATGTGTCACTTCCCTATTCCAGAGAAGCATCCTATGAAATCCAGAAGACATTTGCAGCTTAGAGTTGTATTGAGAGCATGCTAAGACAGATTCAAACTGGATAAAAGGAAAAGCTTTTTCACCCTAAGGACGATCAAGCAGCTGATCAGGTTGCCTAGGGAGGTGGTGCAGCTTCCATCCTTGGAGATTTTCAAGTCCAGACTTGATAAAGCCCTGAGTAACTTGATGTGGTCTCAGAGCTGAACGTGCTTTAAACCTGAGGTTGGACTGGACACGTCCTGAGGTCCCTTCCAACCTGAGTTATCCCATGATGAGCAATGCAGCTTTGCTACTTCAGCAGTTGCTCGAGTTTGGAAGGACCCAGTCGTATGTAATGGCAATGAAAGCGATACACTTCTGCAGAGTGTAGTGGAGGAGGATGAACTGTCTTTGCAAATGCTAAACAAACCTTTATTAGGGAGTGCTATTTTTGCCATAACTGTATAGGTTATGTTCATTAGTCAACTTCATGGAAGGTCTTTTCGTAAGGGTTTGATTGAAGACACATCCTCTGCTTTTACACCCACCATCTGTTCAGATTTTTGTGCGCAGTTACATGGATCTCTGATTTATTCAAGTATATCTTTCATAGTTCCAAATTAGGGGCGACCCATACAAGTAAAAATCTGGGTAAAAATCTGGGTAAAAATCTGTTTTTAATGTCCATCCATTAGAAATTAATGTAGTGCAAGACCGTGCCTCACAGGCCCAGCTCAGGAACAGGAAACACTGTGAATCTCATTTTAACATGAACTTATGAGGGTGAACAATTATGCCAAGCCTAGGTTTGTGTTCTCCTGCAGAGCCTTCTCTGTCAGAAGAGATGAGCTCCCCCAGGGAGGATTCAGAGCCAAAGGCTAACTTGGTACTTTTGACTTGCTTTCAGGAGCTACTTTTCTCACTGCAGTAATGATACAGAGGACTGGGAAGGCTAAAGTTCCTGATGGATACTAGGAGTTAGAAATTAAGCACTGTGACTTCTCCCCATTGCCTGTTTACTCTGATGATGATGATGTGGACTGTGAAGTATTATGGATGCTGCATTATTAACTAGCCTTATTAGAGAGCAGTCGAGGTAGCAGTGTCTGGTTTTGTAAACTGTTGAGGCAAAGCTTCTGTATTCCACCTTTTCTGCTGCACTTCAGAGTTGGGGGATTGGATGTAATTTTTGCATTGGTCCCATCTTTACACAAGTATGATGAAAAAGGGAGGATTTCTACTACATCTGAATGAGTGAAATCAGGGTGGTGTGAGAAATTCCACGGGTGACTGGTTTGTATTTCCCTCCTCTGTGTTTTATGAGGCAAAGCCCTATTCCAAAGGGTGGGAACAACCATTTCCTCCTCTGGATAGTGCTGCTTTTTTTTAAGCTTGCAATTGAAAAAGGGAATGGGGAGGAAGCTGATGTCTACATACAGGCTCTGTCTCTATGATTTTCATATTATATTTCTAAGGTTACATTTCTCTTGTCTTTCA